AAGAACTCAGGGTCTTCATGGGATCCGGGGGGGGGGGGGGGGGGGGGCTCGGGGGGGGGGGGGGGGAAACCGCGTCCAGCGGCGGGGGCAAATCTGACCAGAAGCGGCCCAATGGCTGGCTCTTGGTTAGGAGAAAGCCAGCTCGCCAGCTTTCAGGGCGAAGGTTAAGTCACCGCAGCAAAACAAGCCGGCCAATCTGCACCTAAGCCACTGGGGAGGCTGGTGGGAGGCCCAGGGGGTTTTATCCTTTCCTGCGCCTCAATTTACCTTGCTGATCTTCTGAAGCAGTTCGGGGACGCCACCAAGGGTTGTGGACGTCTGCTGGAAGTCGCGGTGTTGAAGGACCATGTGGACTATTTCCGGATCGCCGGTGCTAATGGCCTCGTGCAGGACTGGCAGAAAGAGAAAGCGAGCTGAGTCTGCAGGAGAGAGGCAGGGCGCTCGCCATCGCCGGCAGACGCAGCAGTCAGCTCTGTTCTTCAAGGCCTCCGTTTCCTCGCCACCTGCCCCGATTCCTCCTCTCCTGGGAGGGAGCGGGGGGGGGGGGGCGCTCACCTGTCCAGCCCTGGGCGTTCTCCTTCGTGACATCTGCCTTGTGCCGCAAGAGGACGCGGACAGACTCCGCGTAGCCCAAGGAGACCGCCAGGTGCAGCAAGCTTCGCCCGCGGGGATCCGGCTGCTCCACATCCTGGGAAAAGGAGGGGGGGAGAGCTCTTCTGAGGACCCCCAGAACCGCCCCCCAGGGACACGGATAGGATTGTGGCCCTTCTCCAGACACACCACGAAACCTACAGAAGCAGCTCCAGCCCTGCGACGGCGGTGTTGCTTCGCTCCGACACACAGACAGGCAAGCTCAGAAATGAGGCAGCGTCCCGGGAGACCCCTCCTCGCTTTCCTCCCCTCCAGGGCCAAGAGCCCTTGCTGGGGGGGGGGGGGGGGGGGGTGGGGGGGGGGGGGGGGCGGCTCCTTCTCCTAACCAAACCGGGGAGAATTTGGGGAGGGGGAAAAGGGGGACACACTTCTCAGAGGGGGGTCTCCTCCTGATGGGGGGGTCTGACCTGATCCTGGCCGGGGGGGGGATTTGGGGAGGGGGAGGAGGAGGCTCCTCCCCAGCCTGACCTTCCTCCTCCGGACACAGCAAGGCCCAACCAAGGGGGGCCCTGCTGGGGAGGGGCGGCGGAGGGTCTCCTCGCTCGCCCGCCCCCCTCCTGGGCGCCTTTCCTGGGCAGCCCTGGGGGGCGCGGGAGGGGGGTCTCCCCGGCCGGGGGCGATGGGCGGGCTCGGGTGGGATGCGCACACAGACAATGAGCGTCCGGACGGCACGGATGCGAGCGGGGCCGGCATGCGAGGCCCGCGCCCCTTACCTCCGCCTCCGGCCACGCGCGGGGCGAGCTGAAAGAGAAGAGCACCTGCGGCTGAGGCGGGGCCTGGCCGAGCCCCGGCGTCCGCGGCAGTCTACCCGAGCGCCGCCCCCGCCGCCCCCCGCGCTACCTGGCCCTGCAGGGCGGCCTCCAGCTGCCGGAAGTCGTTCCGCCAGACCAGCCGGTGCAGCGGGAACCGGGCGGCGGCGCTCATGCTGCGGCCCCGACTCTACGCCATGGCTCGGCCCGCCACGGCCCGGCCGGCTGAGCACCGACCCGCCTGCTGCCCTCCGCCCGGCCCCGCCGCCGCTGCTTTCGCCCTCCGCTGCCGCCGCCGCCGCCGCCAGGCCCGGAAGGAGGGAGCTCCGCCCTGCGGCGCCGCGGCCAGGCGCTGCCCGTGACGCCCGTGGGGCCATCTTGGGTCAGGGCAGCGGCCGCCCCGCTCCGTGCGCAGCCGCCATGTCGACGAAGGGCACCGTCGGCCCCTTGCGGGCCAATCGGGACAGGGCGCCGTGGCTCCTCCCACTCGCGGCCATGTCGAGGGCGGGCAGCCCCCAGCCTCGGGTCCTGAAGCGACCTGGCAAGGGGCGTTTCTTTGGGGAAAAGGCGACGCAGCGCCTCCTGGCTTTAGGGAGAGTTGAGGATTACACTGCGGCCAGTCTCCCCCCGCCGCTCTTTCCGGCGGTCTTTTTCGCTTCCTTTCTAAGGGGAGCAGGGAGACACGGGAAGCGGCGGTTTTGCCCGCCCTAGAGATGGCCGCGCCTGCCTCCCTTCGCCCGCCGCCGGCATGGCGTCCGCAGCGGCCCGCCCCTCCCCCAGCCTCGCGAGGGCGGCCCGCGCGACGTACGGAAGCGTCTTGGCGAATGGCGCCGCTTGCGCAGCGAGGGGCGCCGGCGGTGTGCGCGTGCGCGGCCAGGCGGCTCGGGGACTGGCGGGGCGGAGGGCGACCTGCGAGCGGCGGTGGCGGCGACCCGGGCCCTCCCTGCCCGCCATGGCCAAGCGGCTGCGGAGCAGCGACGTCTGCGCGGATTGCAGCTCCGCCGGTAGGCCCCGGGGGGGAGGGGGGACCCGTCCGGAAGGAGGGGAGCCCCGCCCGCGGCCATTGCCGGGGACCGGGGCTCCTGAGCGTGTGCAGAGCGCCCGGGCCTCTCGGGGCGCCCTTCCTCTCGCGGGCCTCCCTCGGGGGCGCCGGACGGGGCGGGGGAGCGGCCGGCCCGGCCGAGGGGGAAGGGGCTTCCCGGGCGGGCTGGGGGGAGGCCGCCTTGGCCCCCCTCCCCCGCGGCAGGGTCCCCGCGCCGGGGCCGCTGCCGACGCTCCTCCCGGCTTCTCCCCGGCAGAGCCGAGCTGGGCCTCCGTCAACCGCGGCGTCCTGCTGTGCGATGAGTGCTGCAGCGTCCACCGCAGCCTCGGCCGCCACATCTCCCAGGTGCGGCACCTGAAGCACACGCCCTGGCCCGCCACGCTCCTGCAGGTACCGCCCGGGAGCCCCCGGCGTCTCGGAGAGAGGGAGGCGGCGGCAGCCCGTGGCCGCTTCTTCGGAGGGGTGGGCGTGGCGGAGGTGGAGGGACCCCGGTCCCGCCCGGGGAATCCTGGGAGATGAAGCCCCCCCCCCCCCCCCCCCCCCCCCGAGAGGCTGAGAAACGGCGCCTGGAAGCATTTCCTGCCGGAGCGGAGGAGGGGGAAGGGCTGCATCTGTGCCGAGCCCCACGTCCTCCCCTCCTGGGGGGTCGCCCTTTTATGCTGGGCCTGGGGCGTTTCTCGCCAGGGGCAAGAGGAGCCTCGTTTCCGGTGTCCCGAGGGCTGAAGGTTTCCTGGGCATGGCGCAAAACAACCGGTGATGAAGGCCCGTATTGTAATGGGTTTTATGTCGCAATGCTAAAGGAGAGGCCTGTAAACCACAAACTTCCTGGGTTTCAACTGGCAGGGAAACGTTGACGGGTTTAAGGCCTGGGGGGCTGGTGAAGGAAGCGGGCTTTCGTGCCCTTTAAAACGTCGGGCGATGCCGTTCCGACTCCTTTGATTCAGAGAAAGCTCTGGCTTCCTCCAGCCACGAAGTTGCCATGGAGGAGGAGAAGTGGCAGCTCCGGGGCTCCGTCTTCTGTTTTGCAGATGGTGGAAACCTTATACAACAACGGCGCTAATTCCATCTGGGAGCATTCGCTGCTGGACCCGGCCTCGGTCATGAGCGGACGACGCAAAGCAAACCCTCAGGACAAAGTGCAGTAAGTGGAGCGAGCAGGGCTGGCGCGAACCCTGAGGAGGAGCAGCAAGAGAGGCCAGGAGCCTTCCTCCTCCTGCTCCCTGAGCCTCCAGCACCCTCTTCACCGACTGGGGAATAGCTAGCTTGACCTCAGTTGTTTAAACTCACACACACATGCGCACACCCTGCGAAGCCGTCTTTGGGAATGTGCAAATTCTTACTTTTTGTGAACGGTTTGAAGTTCAGGCTCCACACAGTGAGAAACTCTCAAGTTGGCATCCCACCCAACACCAAATCGGGGATACCCTGGAAATAAATATACCGAGGGTGAAGAGCTTGGCCCGATTGTTCCTGGCTTGGTCACAGCCCGACCAGTTGATCTTTTGTGATTGCCCATTTCTGCCTGCCCCCACGTGCTGCCCCCTCCTCTGCGCCTCGGGTCCTTAGCAGGGGAGACCCCTTGCAGCCTTTTCCTCTTTCGTGTCCTGCAGCCCCAACAAGGCGGAATTCATTCGGGCGAAATACCAGATGCTGGCCTTCGTTCATCGTTTGCCATGCCGGGACGACGACAGTGTGACCGCCAAAGACCTCAGCAAGGTAGGTTCACCCCTGGGCAGGTGGCAGGAGGGCCCGAAGCGCCCGGCTCTTGCAGGTGCCCTCGTGCCTGGCTTCAGCGGATCGGTGAAGCACGAGGCTCAGGGCGGGACGGTCTCTAAAGGCCTCTCCTGCCTCTGCTTCTAGCAACTCCACTCCAGCGTCAGGACGGGCAACCTGGAGACCTGCCTGAGGCTTCTCTCGCTGGGGGCCCAGGCCAACTTCTTCCACCCGGTGAGAGAATGGCGGGTGGTCTTTCTGTAGCCCCAAACGGGCATGGAGCGGAGGCCTTGCAGCTGAGCCAGCCTCTCACGGCCCTTCTGCAGGAAAAAGGGAACACCCCGCTTCACGTCGCTGCCAAGACGGGGCAGGTTTTGCAAGCTGAGTTGTTGGCTGTGTACGGGGCTGATCCTGGCACCCCAGACTCGTGCGGGAAGACACCAGTGGATTATGCAAGGTGGGCCCTCTTCTGCCAGGGGAGGGGCTGTTTTGGTAGACTGAAGGGGAGGCTTGGGGACTCCCCCTCCCCCCCCCCCCGTCGGGCCCCCCCCGGGAGGAACCTCACTAAAAGAGAGGGCCGGGGGGAAACCCCCCCCCCCCTTTGTTGCCCCCCTAGGAGCCCCAGGGCAGTCTAAGTGCCTCTCTGCCCCCGTTTTCCTTTAGGCAAGGAGGCCACCATGAGCTGGCCGAGCGCCTGGTGGAAGTACAGTATGAACTCACCGATCGGCTGGCCTTCTATCTCTGTGGCAGAAAACCAGGTAACTGGAAGTTCTGGGTTGGCAGGATCCTGGGTTTCCTCTCCGCTTGAAGTGGGCCCCTTTTCTCTGCCGCCACCCCCAGTCCAGGTGGGCAGCTTCCGGGAAGGCCTGCTGCTTCCCGGCCCTGACGCTCTTTTGATGTGTCCTTTTCAGATCACAAAGGCAGGCAGCATTTTATTATACCTCAGATGGCAGACAGGTAAGAAGTCGGCTTCGGACCTTGAGGACTCTCGGTAAAACTGTTTCCAGGAACAGCGCCCCAAATACGAGGCCTCCTGGCTCCCTCACTGCGTCTGTTCGGCCTCTGAAAACAAAGCCACCTCTGGCATCTCTTAGAACGTCGATCCCAACCCGTTCTCCTTAGCCAGCAGGATCGGACTGTTCGCAGTTCAGAACAATAATCTCACAATGTTTTTCACGTTAATGCTGAACCCCGAATCCTGGGGATTAAGGGAGCTGCAGGTGTAAGTTTTAGGCTGCCTCCTCCCGCTTGTGCAAGGTTGCTTTGGTTTGTTTTGGGGGTGTCGGCTTGCAACCCGAGCCGCCTGCTCAAGAGCCAGAGGAGACGAGACAGAGGCAAAGATAAGAGGGCTCATCTCATCCAAATTAACGGTTTAGCGGCACAGGATGAAAAGCTGCTTCCGGTTGTGTGTGTGTTGGAGTCTCCCGTGTGACCCTGCACAGCTCTGGTCTTCCAGGGCAACTGAGGGGCTCCTGTTCTGAGAGGCTCTTTATTCTCGTAGCAGCTTAGATGTCTCGGCGTTGGCCAAAGCAGCCAGGAAGAAGCTTCAGCTGGTGAGTCTAATCCCCTCTCCTCTTTGGCCTCGGAGGTGGGCAGGAAAGGCCAGCCCCCCTCCCTCCCCGAGACCCCCACCGCACCTTCGGCCCCGGGAAAGGAGGAGCAGCTGCTCCCCGTTGAAGCCCCCGGCCGAGGAGCCCAGGAATTTGGGCAGGCCCAGCTTCACCGTTCGGTCTTCCCTCCCTCTTCAGTTGAGCAATCACCTGTTCGAAGAGCTGGCCATGGACGTCTATGACGAGGTGGACAGGCGGGAGACGGACGCAGGTGCTTTCCTCTGGCAGGGCTGCCCCTCCGGCCAGGGCAGCTGCCTGCAGGGCCCCACTCTGCTTCCCGGCCCCTCCCCGCTGGTTTTGCTGTGCTGGGATTCCACATGAGGCCACGATCCAGATTAGCAGTGGGGCGAGGGTGGGATTTGGGGAAGGGCAGATAACGCAGGAGCCTTACGCGCCCCTGACCTCGCCCTCTGCTCCCACCAACAGTGTGGCTTGCGACCCAGAACCATAGCACTCTGGTCACCGAGACAACCGTGGTCCCTTTCCTTCCTGTCAACCCGGAGTACTCCTCAACCAGGAACCAGGTGCGAATCTTCTCTGGGCTCTGGCAGCCACGAGAGAAGCAAGCGGCCCCTTCCCCCCAGCTGAAAAACGGCAGCGGTCATCCATTTGGGCCTGGCGAATCCACCGGTCTCCCTTACCAGGCCCATCCGGGGGGGGGAGGGGGAGGGACTCGGTGCCAGTTTTCCCATGCCACGTTGCTGTGGGGGCGGCATTGGAAATGGGGTGAGAGTGAAAAGGGGGAGGGAGAGTCTGCTGCCAGGAGAGGCTAGTTGGGGGAAAGAGCCCCACTCCGTGTGCGGAGAAGCCGTTGCCCTGGTCGGCCGTGGAGGCCCCTGACGTGCAGAAACCCCCCCTTGGTGCTTGCAGGGAAGGCAGAAGCTGGCCCGCTTTAATGCCCACGAGTTTGCCACGCTCGTCATTGACATCCTGGGGGATGCCAAGCGAAGGCAGCAGGGCAACCCTATTCCAAGTGCCACAGGTGAGCCCTTTGCGGGGCCTCCCTCCCATAAATGGGTCTGGAGGCGGGGAGGGTCCACGCAATGGCCTAGAGGGGGCTGCGAGGGAGGAGGGGGGTTGCGGGAGTCACGGGAGCAAGGCCCCAAATGGCCGTGAGGACAGAGGGGCCCCCTGGGAGGAGCCCCCTCGGCCAAGCCCCCCCCCCTCGGGTCTGCTTTCCCAGGCGGCTGGAGAGGCCACCCTGCACCCATCTCTCTCTCTCTCTCCTCTCAGAAAACGTGGAGCTGATCCTCAGGGCGGTCAGCAGCCAGCAGGGCCCGGGGGGTCACGAGGCCGACCAGCCCGACTACGACAGCGTTGCCTCCGATGAAGAAGGCGACCTGGGAAGCAGTCCAGGGAAGGCCTCTCGGCAGAAGGTGGGCGAAGACCCTCCCGGGGCAGAGGGCAGCCGCCTTCCTGGCCTTCCCGAGGCCTCTGGCCCACCTGAGTGGAACCCCTCTAAGCGGGGGCTGGGGGGGAGGCGTGCGCCCGCGTAAAAGTGGGGTGGCCTTTTGCAGAGCCTGGACTCCGACTTGTCTGACGGCCCCGTCACTGCCCAGGAATACCTGCAGGTGAAAAAGGCCCTGGTGGCTTCGGAGGCGAAAATCCAGCAGCTTTTGAAGGTGAACGTCAACTTGAGCGATGAGCTGAGGACCATGCAGAAGAAGGTAGCCCTGCCCTCCACCCCCCGGCCTGCCCTGCAGGGTTGCTGCCCCTGTCTGGCCACCGGCCGGTTGAGCAGAGTCACCGGGGTCCCTTCTGGTGCAGGGACAAGCATGGCCCGGGGGGAGCAGCGTTTTCCCCCTGCGGGCGCAGTCCCAAGCGCTACAGGCTGGGGACGATGGGGAATGGGATACTATCCCTCCAGAGGAGCCTCGGTTGCCAGAGGCGGCCTGGGGTTGGAGGGTGACGTTTAGGGGGCTGGGGAGGGATTGGGATCCGAGTTCAGATCCCACAGGCCTTTGGTATCCCGGGGGCAGATGGGCCATGGTGGTCTCTGCTCTCCCCCCCCTCCCCTCCTCTGAAAGGCCAACGAAGACCTGCCCTCCTCCCTTCCTCCGGCCGTGGCCCACAACTCCCCAGCTTTGACCTGGCTCTTGGACCGCTTCGCAAACTGCCCAGGGCGGGGAGCAGGTGGCCAGGCAGCAGTTGCAGATCCGTGTTGCCGAAAAAGAGGAAACGCGGCAGCCCCCCCGGCAGGTCTGCCCCGTTCCTTCTGCCGGGGGGGGTGGGGGGATGCAAGCACGGCAGCCTGGCCACGCGTCGGGGGTTAGTTTGTTCAGATACACCTTGTGGG